TATCGATAAACAAAGACTAACGTGTCACATGCTGAATGGGCAAAATTAGTGTTAACCACTCCGTGTTGATTGTTTGCTACGACATGTAACACAAGTCGAACTCAATGCTTACCGCCCACTCATTCGGTTCATCCACTGCTTGATACATTATCATTTACGTACGGATGCAACCTACGCGGTCAAACAGTCAGCCCATCCATGCTGTGTGAATGGCACTCCTGCGTCAATAAACAATCGACCTCACGTTTGAGGGTGCACAGTTTTGATGGGCTGCCCTATCCGCTCAGTAGGACTATTAGCTAGGTTGTTTTACATATTTCACAGAATTAGATGACAGGTGATTGAAATTTATCACAGAATGTCACTAACGAGAAGACGACGCTAATACCGCTGTCGGGGGGTCAATAACTTTGAATGGGTTTCTGACGCGGCAAATCAAAAAATAATGTCACTAACCACGTGGTGCCATGCTGTGTTATCTGTGATCACGAGGAACTCAGGGTGAACAGACGGACATGTGGCTCAGTGCCTTCTTACAGGTTGATGAATTACAAGCAGTCGTGAACGAGGAAACTAGTTGTTAAAATTGACCTTTACTCGGTTAATTGTAGAGCTTAAACTTGATTACATGCTGTTACAGTATTCCAAAATCCAAAGGACATTACTGACAGCTAAGTACGTGGACAGAAAACTGTTCTTCTACAGTTCCTGATACTTAGGGCTATAAGTGTTGACGTTACCAATACCTCATACTTCGTGACTGCCGCTGATAGTCGGGACACGATCCTTTTTCGAAGGAGCATTGATGGACGACGCGTAAGTGACATCCTATCAGCTCCAGCAACTAATGTTCTTGAATGTCTGACCCTCAAGAAACCATAAAGAGCCATCCTGAACTCAGTAAGTGCTTTTATCGATAAATCCCCATTGATGAATCTGACGATGACAGTGGAGTTACATCAGTTTTGCTGGAAAACTTCCCCACAGATTTCGGTTTCCCTGCTCATTAACCGCGATCAGACCTAGATGCATATATGCAACCCCCTAGCCAAGTTGCCGGACTCGAAATGGTCGAAAATTTGGGAAAATTTTCTAGAACCAAATTTAGAGCATTTTGGGGACAATAAAGGTTACTCTGTTGACGTGGAGGACACGGGAAAACGTCAGGCTGAAAATGTGTTCGGTTTACTGAGGTGAGCTTACCGAACTTGTTCAAGAAGGGATTGTTAGGTTAACCTTTACGCCATAAAAACGTGCTTGAGCAGAGCTCGAGCTTCACGAGGGATCCCCTCGGCTACTTCGAAGTCCATTGTACGCAGTGTGAATTCCACCACATTTCAAAAACTACCAGGAATTCGTTAGCGATTCGACATAAGAGAATCGGTTATGTAGTTTGTTAAGACCGAACTTGACAAGCTAGATATATGCCATTTTGAGGAACGTCCTAATGCCAGCATTGATCGATAAAAACTTTTTCCGTCAAGCATGTGAAAACTATGTTAACAATTAGTTACATCAAATCTGTCACGACTACTAAATTCCTCTATCTTCAAAGGACTGAAACTCACAGCAACAGGCTCTACCAATTATCTAGCATGTGGTTCGATCAGATGACCTATGGAACGTATTAGGGTTAGCCAGCTCAAACTCCGGTAAACTGTAGTGACTCTTCACACCGTCATCAGTGGCGGCTCACCTTCGGAAACGGTATTCTGTCACATGATGATAAGAAATGACGAAAATATCCGATTCTGATTTGTGTTATTCAATAATACAGCATGCAAAATTCGCTATCTAAATGAGTTCATAGTATGCGTCATCTGCCAGTCAGTTTTATTTATTGATTGGTGTGGAACGCAGACAGTGAGCACAAAATAGGATATCAACTGGCTGCCTTGTCGACAGTTCTAATCTCCAGTTACTCTCTTCCTGTCTGGTACAAAATGAATGACAAACAGACCAGTTGAACAGCATATCCTTACTACTGTACACAGAACACTACTTCTAACATTACCGCCCCACGTTCTCGTTTTCCTGATTCGAAACATCGCTAAACCTAAACAGAGTGACATTTTGGTCAGATGCACTTTTGTGAAATCGATTGAAAACAGAATTCCACAACTTTAAGGTTTAACTGTGGTAATAAATGTCACCATGGGCTATGTAACCTCAGGTGACTGAATTAAATACTTTTGTTTCCGATTCCCTAAATCCGATATTATTCGACTGGTTACGTTCTTGTGTGTAACTGTAAGGTAGAGTTTATGTGAAAGTCATTCAAACCGATAACTTTCTCGCTGTAAACCATACTGATCTCCACTTAACTTTCTGTCCCGTGAATGTCGCGTGACGTAGAGGTCACTGTTACGAATTGTGCCCCTCAGTAGTTCGGGTGGTCATGATCGATTTCAGATTGGCAATCCATATTTCCACGGAGAGTCTCCGTTGACTTGTCTCGACGAACTCTGTCCGATGAGGTGAAACTATGAAACTGGGCGTGAAATGGAGACTTTAAGATGAATGTCCTAAAAAGTTTTACAAATTCATATTTTATAACCCTTTACAGCCTTATCATACCATCTGTACGATCTCCCACGAAGACGTTGAGCAACGCGTAGCAATAAACCAACGATCCCAAATGGTCAAAACAAGATTGGTTCACAAAGCCACAGTACTATTGAACAAAAGATCAAAGTTAATAAATAGACAACCTCAACAGTTTCGATCGACGAATCGTTTCCAGGAGATAATTACAATTTGATACCAAATAGGCTAAAAATGAACTATAAGCACATAATATGACATTCATACCCAACAGAGTTCTTTCGAGCAGTCAACAGGTTCAAAAACGACAGGGACGAGCCGAGCTCCAAAATGTGATGCACGCACCACTCAAGCAAAGTACAAAAACGTGACAAGTGCCTATTCGCACAACTGTCAATTGACGCGATAAAACAAAACATCTAGGTCAAGGCCAATTAAGGACCAGAAACAGAGACTGTAGAATATACAGGGATAAACGTTTTGGGGAAATTAGGTTGGCTCGGATTTTCGCACGACTGTGACCTCGAAATTCGATACACCATCCACGTTAGATAGTCGCTCCTGGATGAAAGGCAGTTTCGTATGGTGCTTCCTAGTATTGTTGATTACAATCAGGACACTGTCACTGATTTTACACAAAACTGGATGCCATTTCAAAGAAAGTCAAAGGGGTCGTCATACTGAAGAGAAGAACTGATTCGAAAGCGTCAATCTGATGTAGAGTGGAAGTTTAGCTTCTCCTTTACGTATGTTGTTATAAGAGGAGTCTCATAATAGCGAACTAGTCAACCAATTCTCACGAATAGTTGCGCTCGTTTTATCGAAAATTACTGAAAGAATCGCACTTTGTCGGATATCTTGCCTACATCATTTGAGGGTTCTGTTAAGTTTGGAATGTTCACAAAAACTGCGGATGACAACGAAACAAACACAATTTAGTGATAACCGTAATGGTCGTCTAGTCACATTCCATTGAGTGACTGACATGGTGATGATGCGCTCGTTCATTGACTACGTGCGTGCCCAAAAGTGAAAAGACTGCGGGCCGTGATGAGAGTGCTATGATCTCAGAGCACATGACAATTTGTAGGTCACCTGTTTTCAATAGCTGACGAGTATGGCTGACTATATGATATGATACGTGTAAATGTGAAAATTTGAGTGGGTGTTACGGCAAGCTGTGCGCAAACATTGAACAAGATTACGTAGCGCCCCACAACATTTGATTTCACAATTTGCGTAATGTAAATGGAAATACAAAAACAGTGGATTTAAGTCGCTATCACCAGTAACGTTGACAAAGACAATAATAATAGGCTCGGTATCACGTATCATTGTCATCAATATAAATACACAAACATGCTGAGAAATATGTAGAAGGACAGTCAAAACGTAATATTGACTCCTTTTTCACCAGTGGTGTAATGATAACAAATCATGTAAAATTTCCTATAACATGAAAGATAAACGTACCCTACTTTTTGTACGCACTTGAAGGTATACACAATAAACTGCGTTATTTGCATACCACTGTGATATGAAACCTAACAACAGAAAAGGAACAGTATGTAAATCGGGCGAAGATAACATTTTATGGCAAAAGTCATGAAATGAGTTAGATGTTTGATCACTCTCATTAGTTGTTCGCTACGATAAAGCGAACATTGTAATGATTTAACTTTTGGTACAGCAGACCTCTAATTTCTGTTTGATTCAGCCTCAGAAGTTCATCAGCAAAGAAACCCAGCAAATGTTCATAACAGCTGATCAGTGTAAACACGTTGGGTATCAGCTGCTATTAGGTAAAGACTTCCAATCTACAAACAGTTTGTTCGACTTGCCCACTGTTCAAAACTCTTGATCCCATTTTCATCCTCCACCACCACTCGTGCATATGAAACGCCCATGCTAATTAGCCTCTGAGGACAAACTGGTTGGGGTAGGTCACACAGCACTATCACATTTAGATGAGGCCCAGTTGTGAAAAATCACGGCTTCGGGTAGATTCAAACCAACAACAGAAACAGCATATCTAGACACGAAAAGCGCTCTACCAGCTGAGTTACAAATGCACGCCGGGTGCTTGGAAATTTCATATTTGGACTCTGGTACTTACCCATTTTATTGTCTCATACGTAATTCACCATATGATTTAGGAGATCGACTTCCCAGGCGGAATTTCTCAAACAGTTCACGTTGGAATCCACCAACGTCAATGTTGGGCAACGAAAATGTGTTACTAAGAGGTAGTTTGGTAAATCTGATTATTTAACTGAGTCCCAATTGTGAACACTCAAGAACTCGGCTAGATTCGAACCAGTGCCAGTTACAGCTTGAAGTGTTTGAGAAGTCTCGCCTAGGTAGTCGATCTCCCGAATCATATGGTGAATTCCATATGAAACACTAGGACAGGTGGGTAACAGGATCCAAACATGAAATTTTCAAGCTCCCAGTGAGGCTTCGTAACTCAGCTGGTAGAGCGTTTACCGCCTCTAGATAGGCTGTTTCTGGTGTTGGTTTGAATCCATCCGAAGCCCTGATTTTTCGCGATTTAGTTGTATAGGCCAACGAGCCAGAGATGAGTTACTGTGTACTGTATGCTGTACCGCGAAGGACTAACAAACATGTCCTATGTTTAGCCACGAGATTCATGAGCCACTGCATCCAAACTAACCCACCGAGGAGACAAGCCTGTAGGTTAAACATGCATATATGGCGCCACAGACCGCCTATTCGTAATATTCGACCTGGGCGTACAGTGTCGCACACAGACACCAAGTTCAGGTACAGCTTGGCACATGAGTTATCAGTGCTAACTGGGTAACTATGGTGAAGATAAGACTGATGACATGATAAAATGAATCACAGCACTACTCACATCGTCGGGCTTAGCTGACCAATGTTCAGTCGCAGTGTTCGTAAACAACAGAAATCGCAACCACCGTGTTTCTCTGTCCAGTCAGGTATATTCCCTTATTGTTATGGCTCTTCTTCGGTCGGTCACACCTAATTGAATAGAACCAAAAGACAGTGTGTGTGACCATCCGTGCCTGATCTGCTCGCGAAATGATCGGGCCTTCATCCCTGCCTTCGAGTAACACTTATTCTGATGACATGCCTTATCTGCATGTTTGTCAAACCGATTTCACTTTCATGGCTCCAAACGCCATAACAACAAAAAATCGGAACACAATTAAACTGAACACAAAGTCTCACAAGGTCGACGACTAGATCGATTGTTTACCAGTACTTCTAACCGTGATTAAATGTCATTGTTTTGACCTCATCCTAAGTTTAACAGAAACCTGCAACCATTGTTCATGAGCTACCATTAAGAGAGAACTAACTGATGTTGCCCGATAGGTTACTGAAGCTTTGGAATGTTTTACGTGAACACCGTTCACAAAAGTCAATGGATTTTGCGTTCTGACAGTCAGTTAAAAACAGACCAAATCAACTGTCCTGGTTTATGGTCCATTGATTCCTCTATTTTTATTCAAAACAGCGAGAAGACCTGTCGCGAGATATTAACACTTCGATTTTTTCTCATCAGTGGCTAACGTGAATCCAGCACATTCTACACAAACTGGGCATACCAACAACTAATGAATGGACCATCTAAGTGGTTTTAGTCTTAGAGCATTATTGATGGGAAGGAGATTGATTGCGACAGTATTTTCAGTGTACAGAAAACTGGTCAGGGTTTTCTGATTAGCACTGCTCCACTAATCGTCAACAATTTCGGGTTACGAATGCGTAACAACATTTAGAACGATATGACCGGTTCACCTAGGCGGCCGATTGCTAGGATGTGGTTGGTTCTTGGTGAAACCGGGTTCCTCGAGCTTGCTATAGTTAACATGTTTTCAAAATACACTTCAGTAAGCCATTACTGCGTGTGTTTGTTGTCCAAATATGGTTCAATTCCTGTTCTGTTTCATAAATGCTCTGCATGTTAGTGCGCATTTTATTGTTCTGTAAACAACTTCGTTAATGGTTGTCATGACACGCGTGGTAATGCATTCCGCAAAGTAATAAATGCCCGTTCAAAATAATACACCATGATCAAACCACTCTCTGGCAAACATCAAACACTGTCTTCGGGAGTGTTTGTTTGTAAAAGGTCTAGCCTTCGTTACAAACTGCCTAATCCTAGTGTTTATTTTAACTCTTAGGAGCAAACCTTGAGAGTTACTCGGTTTGCTGATGAGTAATGGAGGACTTGGTTAATTTCAAGTTGAACGTCACTCACGTTTGATGGTAGTCATCGTATTTCCATTACTCACGAGCCAAAGTAGTCGAACGTTCAGATATGATAACTCGGTCGCGCTCACTACGACGTCAATGGTCAACAAGGTTGACTCATAAAATCGTGACCGGAGTTCTAATCCGATGGTGTCAAAGATATGCGTTATTTGGGTTAATTTATCTATGATTTTGTAAAACCTGACTGTCTTTCTCTCTACAGTTGTGATCTGTAACAAATCTGCTTGCATGAACGCTGACTTATCGACCACCAGCATGTGATCCGGGATGTAGGTTGAACCAACTATCGCTAGGTTTGTCTAGTTTGGCCTTGAATTGCACAAACCATAAATTATACTACAGTGATTTATGTTTTACCTAATAAATATTGGTAGAGTGCAAGATACCTGAACCTATTAATTGAACGAAATGGTGTAGACGATTGTGTAGATGTTTGTTACTCTTTGGTGATCAACAATTCTCAGAAAATGTGCTCAAGTAAATTCAGAATGCTGATCTAAACGAGCAGTCTGATCGCGAAACTTAATAATGAAAATCTTGTGGGCTAGAGCAGCAAGAGCGATTATGGCCAAATTTTGTTTTTAATTCCTAGTGTGATGTTAACTTCATAAAGCAAAATTGCCCCCAGGCTAAGAATAGATTAGATTCACCTATCGTCAAACGGAGTTGTGAGATACCTGGCAAGACGTTTTAGCGATTAGCAGCAGTATTCATAGGTTTTTATTAGGAACTTGTGTGGTTCCTCATACGGCATTAGACGGGTATCTATTAAGCCTAAGGAGTTACTGTTTAGTTTTGCCATCACATCGCTATTTATCAACGTATCTAAGACAACAGATTTAGAAACATGCATGCAACTACTATTAGTCGATACAACCCTAAAGAAGAGAGCAAAATCAACAATCGACCTAGATCTAGGTTACTTTGTTTGCAGCTTAAAATTAAACTTGAAAAACTGGCTACAAAACCTCAACCATCCCCCGTTTTAACAAATATATGTATGGAAAACTCTTAAGGAAATACCCTAAGTTATTCTGGCTAACCGGCAAACGTCTGGCAACACCATGTGCACCATAAAGTTCTGATCTTAAAGAGGGATTGATTGTACCATATTTTGTAATACTTGTGCGAAATTGATCCCGAAATCAAGTTACCTGTGGATTCGGAATTAAGCGTTGATCACTGATCATTATTGAAATACCTGGTCCGTAAGATGAGACACTGTCTCAAAACAGGCTTTATCGGAACGTCATGAGTGTAGAGAAAAGGCCTCAGCCACTGTTAGGTCTAGAGTGAATAGGCTTATGTGAACCTATTAAGCTAACTGTTCCAAGCAGCATTATGTCTATTTACATAAAGTGGTCTGGACGTTAAAACAATATAAGGTGAATATCATTCATAAATGGTCCGCGCTTTCGTATTCCCATAGATAATTTGGCCAGTTCGTTGCGAAAACAAGTGCTAGACTAGACATTGTGCTTCGTTACAGATCGTGTGTACTGCATATACTTCACAGGGCTGGAACTTGCATTCCGGCTAGGCTTACATGAGTTAATTGTTTTGCCTACTGCGACAATACCTCCAAACTAGGTCTAACCGAACTATTTTACACAAACAGTTAACCATATTTGTTTGCAAGTGATGTTCAGGTTGCCCGATCACTTGGGAAATAGACAGAGAACTCTAGTGTTAAATCCAATCGAGGGTCTCACGGTTAGAATTTTATGTCAAGTTGAACTCAAAATAGTCAGTGTAGTTGATAAACCACATTCCGCTAAGGGGTAAGTAATTAGGGTATAGGATAATATAATTCAAACGGAAATCACAAACGAAAGCTTGATCGGAGTTTAACTCCCTGTCGTGATAAAGATATGCACTATGGATTAAATTCAACAGGACGGAGTCTCGAGTATAGGGCTTCGTTTAGAAATCGATTATCTGGAAAGTCTCTGTAAATACAAAAGTTGCAATAACTTGTTGGTATGGTTCACTTTATGTCAACCCACAACATCGTTCAGCAAACGTAACTATTTCCCTGTTTTCAACTTGACGAGATTTTGTTGTTCACACCCGAGAAATAACCGGTTGGAGATTGAAGTTCAATTCAGAAATGACTAATCAGACCAACCAGCTGGCTCTGAGTTTGAATGCTACTCTAGAACACTACAAGTCAGACCTAGCCAATTGCCGTTACCAGTATAGACAAGCTCATTTGATTCACAAAACTTCTATGATAGCTAGACACGTTGAGTCCTTAAGGACTCTTCGTGAACGTGAATATATTCTCGGAACACGTCTAGGTGAAGCAGTAGACATACCGAATACGGTCAAAGAAAAGTTGACTGAAAACTAAATTTAGCAAATCTGTTACAGAGAAAGCCAAAGCCAGCCCAATTGATGCTCAGCCCGTAAATAGTCTTAAACGACTACTGCATGAAGAGTGGAAATACGGAAACATAGTTTAATCAACTCAAACCGATTTCCTCGTATATCCATCGCTTATACGGTCTACAGAAACTCCGCAAGCCAAGTGAGCTACGGAGACCTTTCCTCTCTTTGCTTAGTCCGCTTTATCACGCGGTAGCAAAGTGGCTGTCAAAGCAACTTGAACCAATTTGGGACACATTTGGGTTCGCCAGTTAATTAGGTAATATGGATTTTCATAATCAGCACTTGTATTTTCTAGACGAGGTTTCATAGGTGAGATTCTGTTAAAGCCTGTCAATGTGTGTAAATTAATCGGATATTGAAATGAACATTCCAACGCCATTGCACAAATAGATTCTTTTATAACTTACACCCAGCGTACAAGTGAAGTTTACCGGTGGGCCGTATAGTCAAATTGATGAAGTTTCACTTGAGCTCTCCATAGGTGTATTGCAAGTACGTTTCAGTTTGGGCAAGCTGGATATAAATCACTGAGAACATACATCTCTGTCAGCGATATGCAGAATGTTTCACCCTGTTGAACTCGAACCAGGATCTAGCCGGTTTTGATTAATCTTCCAATCATCCACACCGCTTTGTTCCATTCACTATTGAAAATGAGTACGATAACACGTCCCTTGTTCGATGTCTTATTGGCGGAGTGTTGAACACCTGTTTTGCAGAGACAGATGGACAATGAATAAACTGAATACCCTGATTGTTTTATAGCTCAGAAGAATGAGTTACACGCTTTGGCTACCATGGTGGTGAAGACAGTCGTCTACATCCGTCTGTCGTTCAAAATGGACACCGTAACACAGAGACTCAACCGTCGATTTCGTCA